CAAACCTTTCAACAATGGCTATGATGCACATTTCAAACACATGGATTACACTAGTTGTCCGCTAACAAATTATTTGCTAGAAGCCACTTTTTATTCAATGATGCATTTTTAGACTAACAAAGGCAACAATTTATCAACCTTGTTACCGCAAACATAGACCTAGGGCCATACACAAGAGCAACAGGACTAACATTGCACAGGCCCCTAAAGGACAGCAATGGGTGCATCACTAAGGTAGGGATTTGGTTCAGATGGATATGCATCCAGATTCTCTGATTCTATGTACACAAACACACCCTTCTCCCTACAGCAACATGTCCTGGCTTCAGAGTAATGCTTAAGAACATAAGAACGGCCATACTGGGTCAGACCAAAGGTCCGTCTAGCCCAGGATCTTGTCTTCTGACAGTGGCCAATGCCAGGTGCCCCAGAGGGAATGAATAGAACAGGTAATCATCAAGTGATCCATCCCCTGTCACTAATTCCCAGCTTCTGGCAAACAGAGGTTAGGGACACCATTCCTGCCCATCCTGGCTAATAGCCATTGATAGACCTATCCTCCATGAACTTATTTAGTTCTTGTTTTAACCCTGTTATAGTCTTGGCCTTCACAACATCCTCTGGCAAGGAGTTCCACAGGTTGACTGTGCACTGTGTGAAAAAATGCTTCCTTTTATTTGTTTTAAACCTGCTGCCTATTAATTTAATTTGATAACCCCTAGTTCTTGTGCTATGAGAAGGAGTAAACACTTCCTTATTTACTTTCTCCACCCCAGTCATGATTTTATAGACCTCTATCATATCTCACCTTAGTTGTCTCTTTTCCAATCTGCAAAGTCCCAGTCTTATTAATCTTTCCTCATATGGAAACTGTTCCATACCCCTAATAATTTTTGTTGCCCTTTTCTGAACTTTTCCAATTCCAATATATCTTTTTTGAAATGGGACGACCACATCTACACACAATATTCAAGATGTGGGCATACCATGAATTTATATAGAGACAATCTGATATTTTCTGTCTTATCCATCCCTTTCTTAATGATTTCCAACATTGTGTTCACTTTTTTGACTGCCTCTGTACATTGAGTGGATGTTTTCAGCGAACTATCCACAATGACTCCAAGATCTCTTTCTTGAGTGGTAACAGCTAATTTAGACCCCATCATTTTATATGTATAGTTGGGATTATGTTTTCCAATGTGCATTACTTTGCATTTATCAACATTGAATTTCATCTGCCAGGTAGTTGCCCAGTCACCCAGTTTTGTGAGATCCTTTTGTAGCGTCTGTTTGGGACTTAACTATTTTGAGTAGTTTTGCATCATCTGCAAATACTGCCACCTCACTGTTTACCCCCTCTTTTACCCCTTGGTGATCTCTTGCCCTCCTCTGGCATATTCAGGGCATAGATGACAGATTAGTTTCTCTCTTTCTCATCCTACACCGGGGCATGGTCTTGTAAAACTAGCCACTGGTATATGTGATGGGGTATTAGCCTTTGGTAACCCTGTGAATATCAGGGTCCAGACACCCCAATGGGAAAACAAAATGTTTAACCCCATCCAAAATAAGCAGCTAAACCAACTGCCTAAAAATACTACATATTTTACTGTATTGAGTCATGTTTTTTGTGAAAGCTTGTGTTGCACTGAACTTACTAGTCATTCTGAGATATGTCTAGAGGGTGTGGTTAATAATGTATGTATTATATATATGTAGAAAATTATAAGGGCATGGCTACACTTGCAGATGTAGAGCGCTTTGAGTTAAACCAGCCTTCGTAGAGCGCAGTAAGGAAAGCGCTGTAGTCTGTCCACACTGACAGCTGACAGCACACTGACGTGGCCACCTTAGCAGCTCTTGCAATGGTCTCAGAGAGCAGTGCATTGTGGTAGCTATCCCAGCATGCAAGTGGCTGCAACATGCTTTTCAAATGGGGTGGGGGGTGGAGTGTGACAGGGAGTGTGTTGTGTGTATGTGGAGGGAGAGAGAGTGGGTTTTGGGGGGTCTGAGAGCATGTCAGCATGCTGTCTTGTAAGTTCAGACAGCAGCAGATCTCCCCCTCCACCTCTCTCTCTCTCACACACAGCATTCCACAGTAATGGAGCAGATAAGCATGTCAGCTGTCAAATGGAGCTTTCAAAGGGCATATCCAAAACAATGACAAGAGTGGCCACTTGACTTAAGGTGATTATGGGACGTTTCTGGAGGCTGATCTGAGTGCAGTAATGCAACACCTCATTCACACTGACGCTGGGGCTCTCCAGCAGGGGGCGCATCAAACGTTATTCTACTCGCCGAGGTGGAGTACCAGGAGCGCTCTAGCCGTGGAGTCAGAGCACTCTACGTGCCTTGCCAGTGTGGACAGGTAGTGAGCCAGTGCACCCGGGGCTCCTTTCATGTGCTGTAACTCGCAAATGTAGCCAAGCCCTAATTGTAACTGTGGTGGGACTTCAGCATCACCACACAACAGGGTGGTGGAGCAATCTGGCAGGGAGGGGCTACCTCCCCAACCAGACGAGACTGGCTTCAAGCACCTAGCCATTGTCCAGAGCAGCAAGTTCCAGTAGCAAGAGGTGCACCCTTTAGCTACTACTGCTGCAAATAATATTATTTTCACTGTGGCTATTATTAAAAAATGTTCCTCAGCTCTGAGATACAGGAAAACCTCCCCCTCATTGGTAAAACAGGGATTTTGCACACTTTAAGCAAACTAACGGTGTGGGGGGGAGGGGCCTCAAAGAGGGATTCCAGACAGATCAACCCCTTCTTCCAGTCCCCTTGGTGGAGAAGAGTCACAACTGCCAGGAGTCATTCATCTCATGGAATTATTTGAGTGGCAGGCACAGATTTACTACCACTGTCACTCTGCCACTCATCCCAGCTGAGATGTCCCTCGTAAGCAGGGCCTCAGACACTGCAACTGTGTGTGAGAGAGAGATGTTAAGTAGGAAAGAGACAGAACAGTGAAGCCCGGTGGGCTGCAATGAAGCCAGTTCTTGAGCCTCACCATCATCCAGACTGATCAAGCAGAGGGCTATATTTACCTGATCTAAATAAATACATAAAAGTGGGGCATGGGGGTGGGAATCATGACACCCAGGAAGGAAATCTCAAGCTTTTCTAGTGTAGGCAGGGTGTGCTGTATGCAGTTCCTCCTCCCAGCTACTAGGCACTATTCTCAGGCACGATGATCAGGCATACAAGGCTCCCACCCCTCCTCCTCCTCCTCCTCCCCTACCCCAATTGTACCTCACAGTCAGAGTGGGTGAGAAACAACAAGGAGAAATGGATCTGTGCAGTCGCAGGTGTCAAACACTGGTTCATATGTGTTACAATCTCCCTCTGTGCCCAATCCACAGAGGATTTGAGTCTGTTACAGCCCTAGCTAGGAAGTTTTAGCTAAAGCTGTTCTAGCTCATGCTTTTAGTTCTGGAGGTCTACAATTCATTTCTCTGTGTGTCAGCTAAGATAACAGCTATCAGGGTCTTTACAATGGAGGCCACACATGCAGGGAAGTGTGCAGGATCGAGCCCTAAGTCTTCATGACAGACAATTCTAATGCTTTATGGTGCAAACTTTGAGCATCATTTTAAAAAATGCTTATTTGCAGTTGAAATGGAGTTCAGGTGCTGAGATACAGTTCTCACCCACCAGCAAACTGCAAGCTCAACATTTAGGCTATGTCTATACTAGAGCGCTTACAGCGGCACAGCTGTACCAATGCAGCTGTAAGATCTCTCATGTAGCCGCTCTACACTGACTAGAGAGAGCTCTTCCGTCGACATAATGAGACCACTCCCAATGAAGCTCTCCCGCCGACATAGCGCTGTGCACACTACTGCTTATGCCAGTGAAATTTATGTCACTCGGAGGGACTTTTTTTCACACCCCTGAGTGACACAAGTTTTGCCGACATAAGTGATAGTGTAGACATGGCCTTAGGAAAAGTAACATTTCTGGGTATGGGATATATCTGGATAAGATGGAGAATACAAAGCAGTGTGGGGAACAGTGATAAAGGAAGGGGCAAGACTATTCTTTAGATTGTCAGCTCTTTGGGGAACAGGCCTTCTCTTAGTTCTGTGTTTGTACAACTACTAGCACAATTGGGTCCTGGTCCATGACTGGAACTCATAGATGCTACCAAAATATAAATAATAATAGCAATAGAATGTGTGCAGTTAGGGTATCTTCTATGCATAGAACTGCACGACATAAAACTGCTACTGAAAGACAATATCAACTCTAAGACATGGCAAATTATTTTAGCCTGCAAATCTCCTTAAAAGACTCTGACAATACAGTACAGACAATAATAAATTCCAGGACATCTAATGGAATAAACATCTCAGCCATCGGCCTCCAGTACTTTGATACAATATGGTACATTTAAAAAAAGAAGAAACAGCTTATGTTATTTCAGGGCACTCAGATTTTGGAAGACAAAATGTTAGATTCCCTCAAATTTTTGATTTTATTATTTGATTCTAGAATTAACTATTTGTATTATGAACGTAAGAAGAGGCATAATAATGTATTTATAATGTCTTTGTTGGACAAAGTATTCTTGTGAACTAAAATCGAATTTGCATTTCTAACACATAGATGGTCAGAAATATAGAGTACATGACAATATCGTCCTGCAGTTTTAACATTTGATCAGTACACTAAAATGTACTCTATTTACCGGAAAATACGAGTGCCAAAGCTAAAATGCCTTATAAATGTTCTGAGTGATCATACATATATTTGAGAGGGTTTGGGGTTTGTTTGTTTTTGTTTTTTAATAAAAAAAGGTTATCTAACTGTAAGACATTAGGAGTGAAGTCCTGGCTCTATTGACATCTATTGCAAAACTCTCACTGACCTGAACAGGACCATGATTTTGATCAGTGTATATGCTATATATAGTATAAACCCATCTGACTTGTGACTTCTTCAGATATAGAGCCTCCTGCTGTCAACTGACTACCCAGATAGATAAAACTACTTACCCATTCAATGCCATAGCCATCTACATGCAGTGTTGGCAGGCCATTCATTTCCATTTTATAGGAGGCGTGCATAGCTTTGGTTGTATCGCCATTGGTCTTAAGTCCCATAGATTCTGCAGTTTTTTGCATCTCTTCCAGCATTTCCAGCAGTCAGTCAGTTGTCTCTCCACGTACGCCAATATCATCCACATACCTGAACTCTTCAAAGATGAATCTTTAAATATCTCATCCTCTAGTTTGGCCTCAATCAGCTTTGTCATCAGATAGCCTATTAGAACATTAAATAACGTTGGTGAGTGAATACATCCCTGGTGTACTCCTGCTTCCACTGAAAACCAGTCTGTAATACAACCATTGACCTGCACACAGCTAAATGTACTGCGGTACAGTTCCTCCACTAGGCACTAACTTTTCAGGCACCCATACTGACATAGTAGTATCCATAGTGCTGATCGATGCACTGAGTCAAAAATGGCTCCAAAGTCTATAAATGTGATGTTAACTTCCATTTGTCGTTCTAGTCATTTTTCAGTAACATTCTACAGAGCATATATGGCATGGATTGTCGATCAAACCATATTGATTGTCTCTCATTTTTTGGGTTGAGATAATATGTCAGTTGGTTCAGTAGTATGATTGTAAATACCTTCCCTGGGACTGACAACAGCGCTATTTCCCTATAATTTGAGCAAGCTCATCGCTCTCCTTTTTGAATGAAGGGATGATATAGCCTCTTTTCTAACCTTCTGGAGCTTGACCAGTTTCCCAAACTTTAAAGACTATTCTATGAAGCTAGTGAAGCAACTTTGGCTTCCACTTTTTAGTAGTTCTGCTTGAATATTGCCAAGATCAGGTTGTGATGCTGGTATACCAGGTGCCATCTCATGCCAAGGTCTCCAGGTTTCAACTGAACACTGAAAAAACACATAGTTGGAATCAATCTGACTTACCAGTGTATTCGTATTGTTAAATTAGGTATTAGGATTATATAAGAACGTGTTTAGACTTTATTGAATGCTTGCGAGTTACTGCATGCATTAATCTAACTTATAGAAGCTGTATCCCATATTGTAAGGTAATATTTTAATATTGGTGATGTAAGCTTCTGGGACTGTGTAAATCACTAGACAGGAGAGAGACATTAACTAGTGTAAAGTGTTGAAACATTAAAGGAAACAAAAGACTTTGTTGTTCTATGCTTCCCCCAAATGAGTTCCTCCCATCAGCTGAGTTCACAGCTCAGAGCACACTGGGACAAGGGGAAAAACACACCTAACAAGAAGGAACTGGACCTCTATGCTTTTTGGACTCTGGGGGCAAGTTTTCTAAGCATAAGCAAGGGATCCCCAGAGGCTTAGCCCGGGAAAGCCCTAAAGGACATATAGAGCTTGCTTATTATAGAAGCTTCTATTACCTCTTGAAACTTAGATTGTAACTCATTTGTGCATGTATGTTTACCTGCTTTAACCTTGTACATAACTCTCATTTCCTTTTCCTATTTAATAAATCATTAGATAGTTTATGATAGGATTGGCCCCAAGCATTGTTTTTGATGTGAGATCTAAGATGTAACTGACCTGGAATAAGTGACTGGTCCTTTGGGACTGGGAATAACCTGAATATTGCAGTGACTCTTGGTATAAAGGACTATCTATGACAAAGGTAGGCTTATTTGGATGGTAAGACAGATCAGAGTACCCAAGGTCTGTGGCTCCATGATTAGGCTGTTATAGTGCCTGAGGAGTTTACCCTTGATAATTGGTTGGTTAAATCTAAGTATAGAACTCACAACCAACTTGGGGTTTGCACCCTGTTTTTTCACTGTCTGCCCTGAAGTTGGTACTTGCACTCCTTAGTCACTGCAGGGCAGTTTGACACAGGTGCTTTATCATTTTGTAATTGTTTGACCACAAGCATCACTTCCTCCTGTGTCACTGGCCTGTTTTCTGCTGGATTCATTTTTGGATTAAGTTGTAGTTTATATCTTGGGAGGGATCTGTTCATTAATTCGCAAAAATTCTCATGCCAACACTTACATTCTGCATTAATGTCCTGGCTGTATTCCCCATTTTTGTCCTTAACTGGCAGAAGCTGTGAGAGTGGATGTCCAGTTAGAAACCTCACAAAGTCTCAAATACACATTTCTGGCCATGCCTTTCAGAAGCTTCTTCAAGGCACTGCACCATACTATTCCCACAATTGATAACGATCATTTTGACAGGGCCTCCTAACTGTTCAAAGACATTTTCTATACTGTCCATTTCCTCCATTCTTCACTGACCCTGACCTTCCAATGCATCCATTCTTCATTGCGCCTCTTTTTTCTCTCTCCCATAATTTGATGGTATCATCTGTAATCCAACATTGCTTTTTCATTGTCCTTAGTCCAGTTGTTCTCTAGCAATTTCTGAGATAGAATCCCAAAATAAAATCCACTCTTCCTCCACGGTAGGTAGATGGCATATAACAGTGGTATGCAACCAGGGGCCTGGGGCGCCCTGGGGGGCCACAGGCAGGTTTCAGGGGGTCCATCAAGCATGGCTGGCATTAGACTTGCTAGAGCCCAGGGCAGAAAGCTAAAGCTCCCCCATGCAGGACTGCAGCCTGGGTCCCTGGGGCTGAAGCCAAAGCCTGAGCAATTTAGCTTAGCAATGTCTCCCATGGTGTGCGGCCCCAGACAATTGCCCTGCTTGCTACTCCTTATGCTGGCCCTGGCTTTTATATGCAGAAAAATAGTTGTTGTGGCACAGCTGGGCCGTGGAGTTTTTATAGTATGTTAGAGGGGCCTCAGAAAGAAAAAGGTTGAGAACCACTGGCATAGAATAGAGAATATTTGTTGAAAATCACTACTGCATAACTATTAGCAATCACTTCATCATAATGCTTATCATCAATGAAGCATTTTGCTTTAATAGTTACTCATCCCTGGAATTTTATTAAAATGAGTTTAGTCAAGTGTTTCCGAACTGGAATGTGATCCAAAGTTGCATTGTCACCCAATGGATATTGAAATGTATACTTACGGCAATTCTTGTGCTGAAACCAGGTAACCATTAAAAATAGGCCAAGCAAATTCTAATAGACGCACATCATTATCTGATTCCTCTTCTGGTAAGCTGTGTGGTCCCAGTCCCAGTTCAAATCCAGATGTAGCATGGCCAATTCTCGCATTCATATCTCTTAAGATGACTATATAATTAGGGTGACATATTGGATATAATGTCATCTAACATGGCATAAAATCTTCTTAGTGCCAGTCTCATGCACATCTAAAGTGGGAGAGTTGGGCAATGACCTGGCAAAGCATCGCTAGTTTTGACATGAACAAGAAAAGGACATAACCCTTTGTCAGATTCATCTTCTTTGGCAGTTTCCTCTGCTACACACAATGGAACCAGGCTTCAGTATTCATTTAAATCTTCTACTACATGCAGAGCACATGATGATGGTTCCTCCATAACCCACAGACAGGGGGAAGCACCCAATAGAAAGATTGTATATCCACTTCTGCAGTGACATTAGTATCTGAAGATGGGATCATCGATGGTTTGATCATTAAAATCTGTTGAGAAAAATGACTCTCCTGGCTGAAGAACTGGAAAAGTTGAATGTTGCTATATGTGGCATTCAGGCATCATGGTGGCATCTGAACACTGAGAGCACAGTTCTGACTTGTAGTGGTCAGATCTTTCAATTGTTGCATGCCTGTGATACATCCGAGAGGCACACTGATATTACCCTGGTTTTAGAGTGACCAGATGTCCTGATTTTATAGGGACAGTCCTGATTTTGGGGTCTTTTTCTTATATAGGCTCCTATTAACCCCCATTCCCTGTCCCGATTTTCCACATTTGCTGTCTGGTCACCCTACCTGGTTTTGGCCTCTATGGCTCGATCTGTGCACTTGGCAGGCTTTTCCTCCACATCTGAAGGTAGGACATATGCTAATTATTAGTGCATATGCTCCATGTGGTGCAAGGCCTGATGCCAAAAAAGAAGCTTTAGGAATATCACTGCCCAAATATTCAGTGGGCCTCTGATTTTTATGCACCCAAAATTACTGCAGGCAAACAGATAACTGCATTGGAGAAAAACTCCCCTCTCCCTCCCTTGCAGGCACAGAAGGCCATGACTAGAGAGGAACTGGCGTGGCTCCATTGTGTGAGCTAGGGACGGGGGCATGATTCAGCAAATCAGTGCATACGGCAGAACAGTCATAGGCACGGACTCCTTCTGAAGCAAAAAATTATAGGGGCAGGGGCTTTGCTAGGGAGGGATTGGGGCCTGTGTATGCAGAAACATCCCTCTTGCTGCCAGGTTAAGGGGGAAGGCATGAGAGCAAAATTCAACCTTGAAGCTGTTATTCCATATAGTCTCTAGGGAGAGGAATCGCTTCCCCAGGCAGACCTCCTCAGAGCACATTCTCATCTATTCAGGCTGCGGGCTGGGAAGAGGATGAGACATTATCATGAAAAAGTAGCTTCAAGCCGCACATCTGTCTTCAGTGCTTTGTGCAGGCTCAGTCTACTTGTGCACACACTGCAGGACTAGGGCCTTAATTACCAGTAAATCAGAGGCGCACTGAAAAATATGGGTCCCAAACCTCCAACCTAAGTAGCCCATTGAAATCAATGGGACTAGCTGCATGCATACGGTTACTTGTTTGTGGAAAGGCTGTAGAATCAGGCCTTTATTTATATGTTTGTTTAGTAGATCAATAACATCCAAATATTGACATTTTCTAAACTATTAAAATGCATTTGAAAAACACCCTCAAAATATATATGTAGTTTTTCAGTGTCTTATTAGCTTGTATTTCTGCATTGCACAACATTTTTCAAGTAGGAGACTAGACCAGAAAGTTGATTCAGATGCAACTATTGGATAACAGAAATAGCAAAACAACACTGCTTGGGGGGGATCTAGTTACTAGAGTACAGCATGTTGGAATTGTCTGACCGAATCGTTTAGAAAATGACTTAATATTTACCATTAATATACTGTTGATATTTTTTTATATGGAACAGGAGGAACAACTACTCAGACATTAACAACATCATCCAGGCTCTTAGATAACCAGTTTAATCTTCTGCTACATGTTTTGCAAAAAGAAAATTAATATTCCTTTTACATGGAGCTTGAAACAAAGTCTAATTTAAGAAGATTAGCTGACAATTTAACGGATTGATCCAAAGATTGTTTTAATTTGCAAATAATCTCCTAAATGTAATGAAATCTCTCAAGTAACATGAAAACTATTCTGAATCC